GTCCGAATCCAGTACCATGTTTTGTTTTGGGTTAGCTCAAAGATTTTGTCAACAGCTCCTCTTTCACGCTTGAAACTTTTGCTTTACTCCTCCCACTACCAGGTTGCCCTAATCGTTTGCTTGCCTAACTGCTTTATATCGAAGCCTCCCTTCTCTTTTTCCCACGCGCCATGCCTCCATGTTGAACAAGTTGTCATTGAGCGAATGAAGAATGGAATTAATGCACGACTCAAGCCCCACCACTTTGCAAAAGAAGACTAATCTTGTCTTGTTCTGCCTTTTGGACCAAACTATTTTATATATCTTCTTTTTGTGTGGCAATATTTGGCCGGCGGCCTCAAACGTCACCCACGTGTGGAACCAGGTGATTCACGATGCCAAATAATTATCTCCTCAACAACCGTCTCTATGGAATCCAATTTAGATCAATAATGAAGCAATAATTATGTTGGTTTTTATATGAAAGAATTTATATTATAGATTTATAATATGAGAGCATAAAAAATCATGATTTATTGATGCTCAAGATATTTATTAGAATCATTTATTAAATGTGTCTTAAGGATATAATCCACTTAGAGATATGATCCACTTATAAATGATTGTGATGGACGTCTTGACATTAAAGACGTTCATTATAGTAATATGTTAAGTGAATTTTAGGTACATTTATGAATGATTGTGATACACGTCATGAGTATAACGACGTTGTGATTTTTCATATTTTTGTTATAATATTTTAAAAAAATTATACAGTTCATATTATATTGAATTATATAATATCAAATATTAAATAATAGATAAATTTTTTGATATTTGAATCTTCTTTTATCCAGTTAATTTTTGTTTTATTTTTCAGTTTAATTTAAATTATAAAATAAAAAATTCATAATATTTAAGATAACATTAAAGTATAAAACTGTATAGTATTTGAATTGTTCATTTCGACCCAGTAATATTGGACATTGAGTTAGGGTTATTCACCTCTTATGAGTTATGTGTTATAGTTCTACAGAATCTTTTTCCTTATTTTCTTAATTAATATGTAAATAATTATAATCTGTTAAAAAAAAACTATATAATGTTCAAAGATTCATAGTAAAATCCTTAAAATTTAGATCTTTAAATAAATACAGAGATTTGATTGGAAAGAAAAAGAAAA